ATATTTTTAATTATTGATTGTCTATTATGATTGTTTATCTTGTTAATTAATTTTTAAGCCTCGTTCGTTCACCGATGCTATAGAAACGACCCACACTTATCGGAATGTTTTATAAAAGTCGTAAACGAACTTCGACCCCGCTTAGCAAAAGGCATACCCGAATTGAATTTGTCTCCAATAGACCCTATGGTTATACCCAAAATATCAGTGACCAACTATACAGGAGCCTCTTTAGGCGTTGATGCAGAATTCACCAACATGACTTTTTACGGTGGCAAGGATTTCGTCATTAAGAACCACAGTCAAGATTTTGACGCAGGAGAATGTCACACAGTGATTTATATACCAAAAATTAATATGGTAACAAATTATAGAATAAAAGGAAAAATTCTGATCCTGGATATTGATAGCAGCGGAAAAGCCGAAGCTACATTCAGTAAGATAAGCAAATCTATTTTTTTCACTTGTGTGTTCCCTACATAATCCTGTTAATTTTTCAGCAGCATATCTTGGAATGCCTCACTTTATAGTATGCACATATGTAATCATCATCATCATCATCATCATCATCATAAGATAGTCAGTCCCTAGACTGGTTGGACACGCACCTCCACTCTTTGCTACCCTGAGCTAACCTTCGCTTTTCCCTAAAAGTAGAATATCCCACATCATTAACTATTTACGAACAATAATCTAATCTACGTCTACCTCTATTCCTTTTAACTCCTGTTTCTACCTCTAAAATGTCTGACTAAACCATCATACCTTAGAAGGTATCCTACCAACCTATCTCGCATATTTCTTATTGACTTCCATAGAGTTCTTTGTTCTCCTATTCTTTATAATCGTGATCATCATACGGTCGTCAGTTCACAGACTGGTTAGACACGCACTTCCACTCTTTCCTATCTTCGCATTTCCCTAAAACTAGAATATCCCACATCCTTAACTGTTTGCGAACAGTAATCTAATCTAGATCTACCTCAACTCCTCTTAACTCCTGTTTGTGCCTCTAATATGTCTGACTACTAACCTACATATTTCGAAAAAAAAAAAACTTTTGGGTGTTTCATTCCCACCAGCCAGTAATGCTGGTGGGCGGGCAGTTCC